AAGGATGAAGGAAACAACGAAGGAAGGAAGGAACGAAGGAAGGAAGGAAGGAAGGAAAAGTAAGAACGAAAAAGAAAGAAATAAAGAAAAAAGAGTAAAGAAAAAGAAAGAACGAAGAAACTACATGAGGAACAACGAAAGAAAGAGACAGGAAGGAAGCACAACAAGGTAGAAAACAAGGAAGGAACGAATGAGTAAGAGAAAATAAAGATGAAAATAAGGTGTAAAAGCAAAAGCAAGGAGGAAAAAAAAGAAACAGGAAAAGAATGAGACCTTAACTAGAAATGGACAAAAGGAAAGGAAGGAAGGGCAGAAGGATGAGAGTTAGGGGATACAATGAAGGAAAGAAGGAAAAGACAGGGATATGGTGAGAAAGGGCACAAGGAAGGAAGATAGACAGGTTAAAACATTTAGATAAGGGGATATGGGCTGGAAATACAAATTCATTGCATGCCCTTAACTTCTTTTTACATAATTTTCCATATTAAAATCCAACTCTTCACTTTGACGGAGCACAGGCCCCCTGCTGTCATACGGATTAACACACAGTCACCATATGTCAGCTTCAGTCAACTAGACACACTGAAGCTCCACAAAACGCACATGGCCCCGGCAACAGACAGAGCTGCAGCAGTTGCTCTTCCGATCCTCTTAGATTTCACGTCTTCTCCGCTTGCTTCGACAGCCGCGTGTCGTCCAGGTGAGAATCTGACTTCATCGCGCTCCCCGGCGACATGCCGGGTGTAACATTACAGCAGGACGCTCGCTGAGTGTTCGACTCTTAGCTCTGTGGGCTCCGTTACCAGAGAACACACCCACCATATGGCAGCGGGAGGCAGGAAGCACCACACACATCCATGTGATCTTACACTGGAAAGATACGACCACCCTAAAATATACAGGGTCAGAGTTTCCTAAAGGCGGTTTTATTTGATGTGACACATAATACATCTTTCATTGTTTTATTTTACATATGAGAAGTCCAGAGTTCTATCAGGCGCGAACCGAGCAGAAACCTTAGTTTAATATTTTGCACAGCTTAATACTTAACAGTATTAATGAGTGAATGTTTGGACTAAGAGACAACATTAAGTTAATGCTAAACTAAAACAATCCTTCAGCTAAGGAAGTGGGATCAAGTTTTATCCTAAAAAAAAAGAAAAATAGAAAAAAAAAAAAAGGGCCAACCCTTATTTTACAAAGCGTCCTTTTCTGGTGCTGTAAATGTTTTACGACTCAGAGAGCCGCTCCTGCAAGACTTAATTCTGACAGAAACCACCCCTAGAAGAAGTACAAATATTTATATAAAAAAATAAAATAAAAAAAACAGCAGAAGGTCAAAATGTCCTCTGAAAAACAACTCCAATAATTTTCTTTCCTTCAGGGAATGATAAAATATCTTAAATGTTCGCTAGAAGACGACCTGCTTAAGTTCAAGCTTAGCATCAAAATGAATCTTATTGGTCTTTTAACATAAAAACCTCCCATGGATTTATAGAAAAAAAAACTGATAAAAATGTTTCCTGGCAATAAAGCTTTTTCTAAACCACCGAACAGCAGTTGTGTGAACAGAAAGTCTTGGGCAGATCGCTTTAAATGATACACTGCAAAAAATGTCAAAAAAAATCAGTCAAATTAGCTTAATTTAAGTGTATTTTCCCATAATTTGAGTAGGAAAATAAGACGATCTGCCAATGGAATAAGATTTTTTACCCCTAAAAAAGATAAGATAAGTTGTGCTTTAATTAAGAGACTGCAGTTGTTGTTTTTTCTTATTTTAAATGTTAATCATCTAATTTCTTTGGTAAAGTATCTCAGTCACCTGCTCAATTCAAGAAAAATCACTTTCTAAGGCTTAGATTGCAATTTTTTGCAGTTTAGAAAGAACTTTTTACAAGCAATACATGCAGAAAATCTCTGGATGTAGAACATGTTTAACCTTTAAGCGGGTGACCACAGGGATAAGAGGGTATCATCACACAGCCTCATCAGATTTGGACGTTAACAGAGAAAACTTTGCTCTGATTAATGCAAACTGCAGCAACATCCAGGTTAGGGTCGGAGTTTGTCAGAAATAACCTGAAATCATGGATCCATCCTGCCTGTTTAAAGGATTCAGGCTGTTGGTGGTGAAATGGGAGCTTTTCTTATTCCACTTTATGCCCATTAGCAGCATATGAGTATTTGTTTCAAAGCCCTGCCTTCCAGAGTATTTTCCCCCGATGGTGCCCATCCCTTTATAACCACAGGGCACCCAGCTTTTAATGGCTACTTCCAGCAGGATAATGATCCATGTCAGAAAGATCAAATCATCTGCAGCTGGGTTCTTTAACTTCGACAATAATCTCTTCAGAAGTCGGATCTCAGTCCAAGGTTCCCAAACAGACAGACAGCCTAAAAAATGCATCATCACTCTATTTTTAATTAGAAATATAAAGCAAAAGTAATACCACTGACTTTCAAAAAATGTTTTTTTTTTTAAAAACTTAATTTTTTAAGTCATAGTTTTTTGTATTTTTGAAGGAGTTTGGTTAGTTCTCCATATGACTGACCCTGACCTTATGCAGGACCTTAGTCATGGTAAATGGGATGCACTTATATAGCGCCTTTATTCAAGTCAGGAGACTTGACCAAAGCGCTTTACACTACATTCATTCACCCATTCACGCACACACTGATGGTGGCAAGCTACATTGTAGCCACAGCTGCCCTGGGGCTCACTGACAGAAGCGGGGCTGCCGTACACTGGCGCCACCGGGCCCTCTGACCACCATCAGTAAACAATGCAGGTGAAGTGTCTTACCCAAGGACACAACGACACTGAAAGTCAGAGTCGGGTTGATCCATCAATCCTTCGATTTCAGGGCAAACTCCTACATCCAACGCCACTGTCGCCCTCAAAAGTCTAATCAAAAGTCTAGTCAAAAGTCTTAAGCCTTTCTGAATTACGACTAAACGATTTTGCTAAAAATCTAAATTGCATTAAAATACAACTAATATTGCAATTTTATTGCAACTTTCCTTTGCACCAATCGCAATTAACAGTTTTTTTCATGACTGAGTTTTCTCGTCTAGCATCCATTGTTTAAAGACTTTAATGCAACCTTTAAGGGAAAGCGTTCTAACATCTATCATGCATGGATCTCCGTGCTAGCAGCAAATCTCTTTTCTCTTCTACCTGTAACTAAGTGTATTACTGCCACCTACAGGGCTGGAGGGAGCAATGCACTGTCTTAAGCCCAATTCGCCTGTGGATGAGCCATTTTGGTAATTTGTAATTTGTTGAGTAAAATTTTCGATGTAAAACTAAATAAAACTAATCCTGTGTGAATAGGATGTGAAAACTCTTGTATTCACATTCACATTGTGTATATTTTTATTTAAAGCTATGGTTGGTAATGTTGGAGAGCTAGCTAGATTTTAAAGCGTTCTCCTCCTCCCCTCTCTGTTCAAAGTTGACTGAACAGACGGAATGTCAGGGATTGGTCAAAGTTTTTAAAGGCTTGCAGCTTTAGCTTATTATTTTTTTCATTCCTCAATCTGAATAAGGATTGATCACTCTCATGATGGAGGAACCATTTCCCTCAATATAACAAAAAGTGTTTCTGAACAGGATTACAGTTTACTATAGCTGTAATGAAATGTGACTCAAAATGTACTCATTCTGTGGTTTGAAAATTCCATTTAGCAAAATTGCAAATTCACAAATGCAATGAACTTCCAAGCACTATTCTGAGTCTCATTTTCTATCTGTGTTCTTTCATAAGTAATTTCAAAGTCCACTGATACCTAAAGTAATCATAAATGTGGTTTTAATTAATAAATGGTTGATTTTGCTATTTAATTGTTCGTTTAATATTTGAATCATGTAATAAATAAATATAACATATATTTATTTTAAGTTTTTGCATTTATTTATTGGGTCTTCCATATCCTTCAGGGCTAGAATCCCAATCATTGTGAAAACCAACCTGAGACCCCCCCCCGCTCTGGGAAGCTCTACATTAAAGCTCATCTGGGATGTGTTGGAGACAGAGATTCACATTAACGTGTTTTAAGCTTCCATTTTTATCTTTCTATAGCTACCCTCACTGGAAAAAAGTCATTTTTTCTTAAAATAAGAGCATTTTTTTCTTGAACTGAGAAGGTAAAAGAGTCATTTTGCCAATGGAACAAAACAATTTACATTTAAAATAATAATTCCAAGTTCTTACTTTAAGTGCATATAATCTAAATATCTTATTTTAAGAGTAAAAATACTCATTCCATTGGCAAATCATCTCATTTACCTACTAAATTTAAGGGTAAATACACTTAATTTAAGAATTTTTGAATTATTTCTACATCGTTTTTCCAGTGCTCCTACTTTATTTAGGACTTGGGTAAAAACAGAAAATAATTTGCTGTACTTAAACTCCATAACTGTGGCGAACATACATGTGGGCTCGTTCTCAGAAAATGAAAGGTGAGCCCAGAGAGAGTATTTGTTCCTTTTGTAAACTTGTTCTGACGGCTCAGGTTTTACATAAGAGGCCGTCGCCCAACTATCTGGTATTACAACAAGTTACGGTTGGTGTTCTCATGCTTTAGAAAGTGAAGGAAACACTCTTCTAACAAACTGCGCTCCAATCAATAAATAAAAGGTAAATCCATAAAACAATTCTGGATTTTATAGAACTAACTGATTCAGACAAAGTCCAGCATAATCTGAACTATGCTTACTCTGACCTCAGTTATTATGGTTTCAGAAAGTCAGAGAAACAAATTAGGATATTACATCGTCAGGCACACAAACCTACGTAAATCAAAGCACACAAACCCTGTTGAATTTGCCTGCTTTGCACACACCCTCTGCAGACGTCACTCTGCTTTGTAACGCCATAGCCCTCTGTTTACCCAGCTATTCATCATCAGAACCAGAGTGTTTGAAGCCGGTCGGTACACCTATGAATACGTGCATTTTATCCTGGTACAGACTCATTGTTGTAAAAACTATGGACGTATATCATGCAGCCGGCTTCAAGTCATCCAGACAAACAAAGGAGGCTGGTGAGGGAATCCCTGTAAACAGGGGAAACCTCATTATCTGCACCGCAGGGCAGCATCGGATGCTGCCTGGCGACCAGACAGTGGGGAGGAGGGAGGGGGCCTTCTACCAAATGCAAATAAAACTGCAAACGCTTCGGAAATAATGCAAAAAAGACCTGAGGGACCCGAACACAGCAGCGATTTGCATGGTAGGGGTTACCACGGTAACAAGCAAAGTGAGAGAAAAGAAAACAGGAAACGCCCCGAGAAGATGACGTTTATTTTTAGAGCGCGTCCAAAAACAGAGTTTGTTTTAAGTGAAGGTGGACAGCAGGCAGGGGGGTAGAAACGAATCCTACAGATGAAGCACGGCTGCTTTAGTCCGGGTCTATATCTCCTCTCCCTGAAGTTCAGAATACTTCTAATTATAGGGTTTGAGCTGATGTGGTGAAACAAGATTAAATCCAAACAAACGGCGTTGTGTCTGACCTTTGAGTCGTACGCTGATTGCTGGATGACCTCGGGCGCCATCCAAAAGGGCGTTCCAACAAAGGTTTCCCTCTTGATCTGCGTGTCGGTCAGCTGACCCGCCACTCCGAAGTCGGCCAGCTTCACCTCCCCGTGCTCGGACAGCAGGACATTGGCGGCTGAGGAGAAACATTTTTAACGTCACTTTCTTTTCCGTTTGGTCAAAATTTTCTGGACTTTAAAGATGGAGGTCCCATTTAAACCAATCCAGATATGCATTAAAAGGAATTATGTTGTCATATATTTTAGATAATAGTAAATATTCCTTAAAAAGACACTTTATATCTCTAAAGATCTACACCAAAACATCTATTTTATTAAGTTTTACTACTGGTAATTTGTTATGAAAATCATTTTCTAACTTTAATAAATCCTCCTCTGTCTTAAAGTTTCCTATTTTTATTAAGTATCAACATTTACTTTTCTGTTTTTATTTTCTTTATAAATTATTTTTACCACATTCCACCACATATTTAACCCTGTAATGCCAAATATATCATATTTGATACATACGGTTTCTGAAATGTTTTGCGTCTGACACATTTTGCATAATTTAATAGTAAAAACTTTGCTAAAAATCCTATTGTACACAATCAGATATACCTGATAACAGCCAGTAGAAGACTACACAAAAACTAATCTTGACTTATCGCATCGTAATAAATTATTAATATCAAAAATGTATTTCTGTTTTTTTCTTTTTACATATTTTGTTAAAAGGCCAAATAAGGACTTCAAACCAAAAAAAAAGTTATTTTCTGTTTTGTTTAACTCTTGGATAGGGCTTTAAAGGGTTAAGCACAATCCACAAAAAAAAAAAAAGATTAGATCACTTGGTTCTTTAAGGGCCAAATCAATAAAGCATGATTTAATCAGATATCATCTGATCTCCATCATTAAACCTTTGCCTGTGAGTTGTTAAATCAACCTTAAAGTGTAGCCTTTATCATATCAGTTTATCACCATCCACACCTTTGATGTCTCTGTGGATCTTCTTCTCTGAGTGGAGGTAATCCAGCCCCTTCAGGATCTCCTTCAGCATGGTGGCAATCTGAGCCTCGTCAAACGGACCGGCCTTCAGCTGCACAAAGACATTACAGGTGAGGAAAAACGTCATTAAGCAGATTTGATCAAAATATAACTGGGATAAAAAAATTTATTGAAGCAATAAATGTGTTCATATATTTTATTAGGTGTTAAATATATATATTCTGGTTATGAATGTCTCATTAAATACTCAAGCTTAGGCAGGAGTCCCTAGTTATATTCTAAACCAAATAAAAAAACAAAACAAAGAAACTCAGTTAAAAATTGACAACAAATCATAAAAACCAAATTCAGGATTATTTAAATCCACCTATTAGTTTTGTTCTGTAAACATCTGAAAAATGTCTGCAGACTCACCAAGTCCAGCGCTGAACCTCCTCCCAGATACTCCATGATGATCCATAGTTTACTGCCCTGAACAAAGATACAAGTGCTGTTACAGAAGGTACAGAAAACCATCTTAACTTATAAAATGTCTATTAAAAAACAAACAAACAAAAAAAAACCCAACAAAAACTCATAATATCAAGGCAAATTAAATATATTGCTGTTGATTATCACTGATACTCTGTTTAATGAGGATGAGCCAGAAAGCCTTCCCTAATTCAATTTAATTCAATTCAGGTTATTTATATAGTGCTAATTCACAACACGTCGTCTCAAATCACTTTACAGTTCAACCAGATCATACAGTCAGATTGATTCAAAGTTTTCTATCTAAGGAAAACCAGTTGATTGCATCGTCTCATTGTCGATTTAATCAACAATGAGTTGATTGCGTCGACAATCAAGAAATGATTAACTTAAGAAACTGACTTTTCACAGACAGCATATGCCAAGCAAATCTTTGGAAAATTAAGTGGAAGGAAAAAAGTACAATGTATGAAAAAATGGTCAGGGTCGAAGTTTCTAGTTTTATCA